TTTTTTTTTTCCTTCAGTGGCCCTAATCCTCTTCCGTATTTTAAAGCCCTAGTTAACTCACTATTGAAATCTTCAGTCAGCGATACAGTCATGTGTAATTGTTACAGTTGTTTTGAGGAGAAAAGGCATTTTAACAGCTTATTGTAGACAAACAGGTGTGATTTTTTCTTCTTGGCATACAGCTGGACCATAGAGCTGTAGAAGGGCCACATAGTAATGCAGATGGCTTCTTAACTCACATAGGGGATTTTTTTTTTTATCTTAAGAAGATGTTAGTAGTTTGACATCAGTTTTGAAAGTTGTTATTTTATGCTCTGGAGTGAGGTATTGAAGGAGTTATTGCTTACCATCAATCTTTTCTGTGCAAAACATTTATGATGATCCAGACAAAACAGAAAGTTCCCATTTAAAGTCTTGAGTGCAGCTTGGAAAGCAATCCAACTTTCTGTTTTGATCTGGTCCAGGAAAGCTACTCTGCCTGGCTCGCTAGACTGTGTTTACATGAGGAGTCTAGACTCAGACAGGCAGCGAGCTGCATTGCGTGCACAGAATGGCCCTCACTAGCAGAAGCTTCATCCAAACAATGAAAAAAAAAAAAAAACATCTTGTCAGTCAGTGAGTCACAGGAAAACAGAAACTGGTCAGATCATTTCTGAGGCAGTTGCAGAATGGTGCAGTTGGTTTATCTCTGCTAAAAACGTGTATGTGTGAATTTATAGAATGTGTGGAATTTTAACTCAGCTTTTAAGGCTATACATGCACAATGTTTGAGTTTCAAACAACATAGTGGTAGTGTTGCAGGGAAGTGATACAGCTAATAGTGTCTATGCTAGGCTCTGGTTGCAGTTACAATGTCTTTTAGCTATGTCAACAGAAAGGGGAAAACAATAAATTTTAAATGAATTGTCATCAGGTGCACGGCGCTAGTCAGAGACATCATTAGAGGTCTCAAAGGTCAAATAAAATTTCTTTCTTGACAACAACCACGCCATGTAGAACATATTCGTTAAGGAAAGTACGATATAACACAAGGAAAATAGCTGCAGATCATCTTTTTTAAATACATTTATAGCAGAGGAAGGCAGGTTGGGATTGTATTTATGATCCTCTCTGTATACCTATTTGTTTGCAGCAGTTTGAATATGCACTATTTTCTAGATGATCCCAAAGATGACGTTTTCATTACAATGTAAGGCAGGCATGGGAGGGGAACATTAAAGTATCAGAAATTCATGGACTAAACTAGTCTTAGAATGAGTGGACTGTGCGGATTCTTAGGCCAGATAAACCAACAAATTTAAATGCGCTCTCCTGTTTATATGATAAAGAGTGGCCAAATGTCAGTTCAAACCTGTGCTAATTATGCCTTGCTTGGCTCTGAGAAGCTTGTTATAAAGGTGGAACTTGTTTATTGTTTTTTTTATAATATACTCTCTGTGTAAAAAGAGCCGTTTAGGTGTATAATCTCAGAGCCCAGAAGTAATGAAAGATGCATTCCTAAAAATGAGCTTGTCTCAACTTTTTATGGGCTTTAGATTACATTTGTCAATCTGATGTCTTTTTATTTTAATAACTGCTATTGACTGAACCTCATCAAAACTGCTGTAAATAATTAGTTTTGGTACACTCTCTTTGGATGTTGTGGGAGAAACAACTAATCTGTAAAACTGTGCAGTGCTAGTCCAGACACTTGTCCCCCAGCTTAATCTTACTTACTATCTAAACTTGCTCACTCCTGCCAGACTGCTCACAGCCGAGACAGCTCCAGGCAAAAGCCTTCATACAGGGTATTTCACAATAACTATTCAGCGCATTTATTCACAAACCACAGCCAAGGCTCTGTTACCAAGAACCAATAAGTTATTCCGAAATAAATCAGTTTTGTTCTTTTTGTTGCCATCCATTGATTTGTGTTTAATAGCAGCCTGACATACTAATACTGGGTCCAGATATTACTAAAAAAAAAAGGTCTGTCTGCCATTTAAAAAAAATAAATAAAATTTGTCAAACAAACCACAAATGAGTACATTCAATATGATTTTGATGGTTGACTGTTTATAGAGCTGAGACGTTCCACATTTTCTAATCCACATTAATCACCACAGAACCGGCTGTGCTCCAGTCAGAAGGCCCTTCTGTGTCTGTAACAATATATTTTTCATCCCGTCTTAGGCAAAAAAAAACAAACTTAATCTCTTAAAGACATTAAGAAAAATATTGCAATTCATCAATCTTGCAACGATTATCTATGACCCGCAGGACTAAGTCTATTTTTTTGAAGTAGGCAAATATGAACCCTTA